TATATATATATATATATATATATAAGTGCGTTTCTATATAAATTGTTTGTATGTTTGTTATTCAGGAAGACTGGGTTTGGCTGCGACTCGAGCGTCGAAGATTTTGGGGATATTTATGACTGGCACTCCTCGACAAGAAGAACTGGTGGGTTTACAAGCGGTGAAGACACATATATTTTCGTCTATGGGTCCCTGGCTAAGGCGTACAGACACTGTAACATGTCTTGCACATAGATTTCAGAAAGATAAACAGCTGCTGCAAGCAGCAGGAACAAACAAAGCTACAGAAACAGATCAAACAGGTGAGGCTAGTACTGCTGTACTTACTGCTACTGGTGCTGCTCATACGCCACTTGCTGCAACACATGCAGCTGCAACAACAGCAGCAGCAATGGCAGCAGCACTTACAGCACTCCTCTTCGCTCTTTAAACTCTTTAAACACACACATCATATAAAGCATCAGTGTAGCAGCAGTATAGCAGCAGTATAGCAGCAATATAGCAGCAGAATGTCAGCAGAATAGCAGCAACAGCTGCACGCTGCTGCTGCTGTGCTCTAGCCGCCGCTTCTTGTAGAGGCGCCTGCAGTTACTGCAGCTGCAGCAGTGCAGCAGCAACTGCAGCAGCTGCCCGTATTTGCTGCTGCAGCAGCAGCTGCCCGCATTTGCTACTGCAGCAGCAGCTGCAGCAGCTTCCTTACCTGCCTTACCACACGGCCCATGCACAGCAACAACACAACTGCTACACCACTAGCAGCTGAAGCTACCGGTGTGCCGCAGCAGCAGCAGCAGCAGCAGCAACAGAGACAGCAGCAATGGCAGCAAGACCAGCAGCAGCAGCTGCAGAGGAAGGAGCCCTCAGCAGTAGCAGAGAAGAAAAGACTCAAATGTTTGGTTTTTGTACTTGTGTGTATTTCGTTGTTTTTGTTTATTTTATTACTTACTCTCCTTCCTCTGGAGGTGTATATACACCTCAGACTAGGCTTGCTGCTGCAGCAAGAAGGGGCAGAGACAAAGAAGAGTCACAAGCTCGAGACAAGAAGGCAGATAGAGAGACGAACAAAAACAGAAAGACAGAAATAGAGACAGAGGTAGAGAGACAGAGTTAGAGACAAAAGAAGAGAAAGAGAGAAACAGAAACAGAGACAGACAGACAACAGCAGAGACAGCAGCAGGGACAGCAACGGAGACAGCAACAGAGACAGCAACGGAGACAGCAACAGAGACAGGAAGATAAGGAGATGTACAGAAACAGAAGGGGAGACAAAGGCAGGAACAAAGAGACAGAGAGAGAAAGAGATACATAAAAACAGAAAGAGACAGACACACAAACAGAGACAGAGACAGAAAGACAGAGACAGGAAGACAGAGAGAGACAGCCAAGGACAGAGAGAGAAGCAGAAAGAGAGACAGAGGCAGACACAGAGACAGAAAGAGACAGAGAGAGAAGCAGAGAGAGAGACAAAGACAGAAACACACGAAGTCAGAGACAGAGAGAGACAGAGAAACAGAAAGAGAGACTAAGAAAGAAACAGAGACAGACAGACGCAACAGTTGGAGACAGAGACAGATACATAAACAGAAAGAGAGGGAGACAGAATGAGACAAAAACAGACAGTGGAGGAGACAGGCTGCAGAGACAGCAACAGCAGCAAACACCAGGAGAGGAACGCGTGCATACAAAGAAAAAAACAAAGACAGAGAGAGACAACGCGACAAACAAAACAGACAAAATTTGCAAGTAGCAACGGCTCGAAGCAGCACCAGCAGCAGCAGCAATAGAAGCAGCAGCAACGGCAGCAGCAGAAATAGCAACAGCAGCAATAGCAGCAACAACGGCAGCAGCAATAGCTGCAGCGGCTGAAGCAACAACAGCATCAGCAACTGTATAAGCAGCAAAAGCAACACCAAATGCAAGAGTAGCTGAAGTAGCAACAGCAGAGACAGGCGGAGAAGCATGTAGACAGCAGGTGCAGCAGATGGAGCAGCAGCAGGAGCAGCACAAGCAGAAGCAGCTGATGCAGCAGAAGCAGCTGATGCAGCAACAGCAGCTGATGCAGCAGCAGCAGCTGATGCGGCACCAGTAGCTGATGAAGCAGCAGCAGCTGGTGCAGCAGCAGCAACAGCAGCAGCAGGTAATGCCCCAGCAGCAACTGATGCATCAGCAGCTGGTGCAGCAGCAGCAGCAACGCCGCATGAGGCTCTATACAAACAAAGAGGAGGCGCGTACGCCATAATACAGACGAATTAAAAATAAGAAAGACCAAAATGACAACAGTTGCGGTGTACGTACACTCCAAAAAGCCAATGCTGCACATACACCTGAGTTCGTCTATAACAACATAACAAGAAGACACCGTGCTGCTCTTAAAGAGACATACATCCTGAAATAAGGCTTCATAGCAGCAACGGCGGTTGCTGCTGCTGCTGCTGCTGCAAGCAGTGGCTGCCGCTGCTGCTGCTGCAGTAAGAGTTCCCTCTGCTGCAGGAGTTGCTGCTACCGCAACGACACAAACTGCTGCTTCTGCAGCAGACGCCGTTGCTGCTGCTGCAGCAACCGACAAAAGTAAAACATAAAAATCAAATGCTGCTGCACTCGGCCTCCCAAGTGGAATAGACAGACCTGAACGCTGCTGCTGCTTCAGCAGCACCAGCAGCAACAACAGCAGCAGCAGCAGCAAAGGGAGGAAGAACCACTCCCGTTGCTTTTGCTGCGTTTGCTCCAGCTGCTGCGACAGAAGAGGAACACAAAACATCTTTGGCGCTTAAACACTGTAGCCAGGAACTCTGCAGCAGCAGCAGCAGCAACAGCAGCAGCAGCAGCAGCAACACCAGTAGCAGCAGCAGCAACACCAGCAGCAGCAGCAGCAACACCAGCAGCAGCAGCAACGGCAGCAGCAGCAGCAGCAACACCAGCAGCCACAGAAGCAGCCGCATTCAAGCCGATATAGTATTATGAAGGCAACAGCAGCAGCAGCAGCAGCAGCAATAAGGAGCGTGAAAGATAACCGATGCCTCATCGACAACTACAACAGGCAAACCCTAGAATTTAGGGTTTAGGGTTTAGGGTTTAGGATGCCGTACTCCATTTCCATTGAGCAGAGGCAGAGGCATCAGAAGTCTGCGGTGCTCTCAGTAGGGGAGAGCCCCGCAGCAGCAACAACAGCAGCAGTAAGAGGTGATGTTGGTGCTGCAGCAAAGAAACGCAGCAGCAGCAGCAGCAGAAGCTGTGTCAGTGAAGCGCAGCACGCAGCATGCATGCAGAGCAGATGCGGCATGCTGCTGTCTGCAGCAGCAGTTGTGCTTGCCGCTGAAGCATCAGCAACAAACTTACTGCTCTCCTTCTCCTGCCGCTGCAGTTGCTGCTGCAGCAGTTGTTGCTGCAGCTGCTGCTGCAGCAACTGCTGCTGCAGATATTCAGGGAATTCAAAGTCTTCGTCGTCTGCATCATCACCCATGTCGGCCCATCGTGGCTTCTTGGGTGCTTCTGCTTCTGCTGCTGCTTCTTTAGATTCGTGCCGCCGCCGCTGCTGCTGCTGCTGCTGCTGCTGCTGCTGCTGGTTGTCCTTATGCTGCAGCTTCTCCGGCAGCTCCTTCTGATGTGCTAGCTGCAGCAGCGGCTCCCGCCGCCGCCGTTGCTGCTGCTGCTGCTGCTCTGGCTGCCGCAGCGGCTCTTGCTGCTGCACCTCCCGCGGCTGCTCCTCTTGCTTCTGCTGCTGCTGCTGCTCTTCATGAAGCTGCTCCTGGTGCTCCTGCTGGGGCCTTTGCTCTCGCTTCTGCTGCTGCAGCTGCTGCAACTGGTGCTGCTGTGGGCTCTGTTCATGCACCTCTTGCTGCTGGTGTGCCGACTGCTCTTGCTGCTTCTCCAGCTGCTGCTCCTTTTGCTGCTGCGGCGGCTGCTCCTGTTGCTGCTGCTGCTGCTGCTGCTTCTGCACGGCTGCTGTGGAACGCTCGTCGTGCTGTTCCTCGGCTGCCTTTTCTTGCTGCAGCAGCTGCTGCACCTGCTGTCCAAGCCCTGCTGGTTCATGCTGCTGCTGTTGTTGCTGCTGCTGCTCCTGCTGCTGCTTCTGCAGAGGGGAATGCTCCGTGTCCTTCTCTGAACACCCTGAATGCTGTTGCTGCTGCTGCTCTTGCTGCTGTTCTCGCTGCTGCTCTCGTTGCTGCTCGTGTTGCTGCAGTTCGTGCGGCTTCTGTTTCTCCAGTGTCGCCGCATCTGCAGCAGCAGCGTCCTTTGTTTGTTGCTGCTGCACTAACATTGAAGCAACATCTTCATTGTCTTTCGAGCCTTCAGGCTGCTGCTGTTGCTGCTGCTGCTGCTGCTCGTGCTGCTGCTGCTGCTGCTCGTGCTGCTGCTGCTGCTGCTCGTGCTGCTGATTCTGCTGCTCGTCAGCTGGCTCCTGATTTTGTTGCGGTTGTTGCGGATGCTGCGCTGGATCCACACACGTCTGCTGCCCACCCATAGGCTGCTGCTGCTGCTGTTGCTGCTCGTGCTGCTGCTGCTCGTGCTGCTGCTGCTGCTCATGCTGCTGCTGCTGCTCGTGCTGCTGCTGCTGCTCGTGCTGCTGCTGCTGCTTGTGCTGCTGCTGCTGCTCGTGCTGCTGCTTCTGCTCTTCGAGTTGCTGCTGCTGCTCGTGTCGCTGCTGCTCTTGCGGCTGCTGCTCTTGCTGCTGCTGCTTGTGCTGCTGCTCTTTCAGCTGGTGGAGCTGCTGATCCTCCTGCTGCTGCTGCTGCTCTTCTGGTCGCTCTGGCGGGCTGTGCTTATCGAGGGTCTTTGTATCGGGCTGATGCAGCCCTTCTCTCTGTTGGTGCTGCTGCTGTTGCTGCTGCTTTTCATCAGCCTGCTGCTGCTGCTGCTGCTGCTGCTGCTGTTCATCCGGCCTCTGCTGCTGCTGCTGCTGCTCTTCTTGTTGCTTGTCCCTCTGTAGCTCATCCTGCTTCTTTTGCTGTTGCGTTTGCTGCTCCTGTTCCTGCGGCGTTTGATGCTGCTTCTTGTTTCGCTCTTGCTGCTGCTGCTTCTGCTCCTTCTGCTTCTTTGGCTGCTGCTGCTGCTGCTGCGCAGTTTGCTGCTGCGCACTTTGCTTCTGCTGTTTCAAAGGAGATGCTGCAGGTGTCCCTTGCCGCTGTGTGGTCCCACTACCAGACGCATGCTGCTGCTGGCGCTGCTGGTGGGGTTGCTGCTGCCGCTGCTGCTGCCGTTGCTGCTGCTGCTGCTGCTTGGGTCTCGGGGGTTCTTTAACAGGAGCTCTGGCGTTCTCTGCAGTTTGCTGCTGCTGCCTATGGATATTAACAGGGGGTGGGAGGGGCCCCCCACCAGGGTATGAAGTACCGATGATACGGCAAGAAGCAGCAGCAGCAGCAGCTGCTGCAGCAGCTAGCTGGTGCTGCGATGGCGAAGCAGCAGCAGCAGCAGCAGCAGCAGCAGGATCCACGAAGGGAGCTATCTCTCCTAAGTACTGCTGTTGCAGGAACAGCTGATACCCCATATCAGCATTCTGCTGCTGCGGTGTACGCCAAGCTTCATGATGATGTCTTCCTATAAGCCCCATATGCCTAGGGTCTGCAGCAGCAGCAGCAGCAGCAGCAGCCGCAGCAGCAGTAGCAGCAAAATAACGTGCTGCTGCTGTCCCTGGAGGAGCTGCATAAGCAGCAGGGTGAAATGGAGGCAGCACAAAACCTTCACCCGCGAAGCGCTTGCTGCTGCTGCTGCTGCTGCTGCTGTTACTGTTGTTGGTGTTATTGTTGCTGCTGCTGCTGCTGCTGCTGCCGGGCCCTAGGAAGCGCCCTCTCCCCCTCCTAGAAGAAAATGAAGAAGGCCGCATGCGCTCTGTGTCTGCTGTCTGTACACCTGACGGAGTATAGCGACCCCAAGGAGCAGCATCTGCAGCAACAGCAGCAACAGCAGCAGCAGCAACAGCAAACGTAACAGCAGCAGCAGCAGCACCAAAGCCAAGCAGATGCAGACAGCACTCAGCATTCGCCGCTCTATACATTGTAATTCATTTTCATGCATTTATATAAAAAAGATATTCATCAATAACTCTACTCCTCTTACTTATACACACATGCATATATATATATATATATATA